GGAGCTTTGTCCAACAACACCTAGAGAGCTCCATTCCTCACCTCTGCTGTAGGTAACATATATACTGGGCTGTTCCTAATGGCATATTACAATTTTTTGTGGGGTTTCCCACAAAGAAAGGGAAAAAATGTAGCAAGACCCAAACGCTGTGAGTGGTAGTTAAAAGTGGGGCAAACATCTTTCAGAGGTTCTCACCCAGATGGTTCAATTGATCCAGAATAACTCTGAAACAAGCGAAGTATGAACACCTTACCCCAGACATGGCCACACTTGGCCCTCCAGATGTTTTAGGACTACAACTCCCATCATCCCTAGCTAACAGGATCAGCGGTCAGGGATGATGGGAATTGTAGTCCCAAAACATCTGGAGGGCCAAGTTTGGCCATGCCTGCCTTACCCTATCAAAAGGCTTGTGGACAAATCCCTTCCCACACCTGACCTGCTCCGATGGACGTTCCTTGGTTGCTAACCTGTTGCTCAGCTGCAAGTCTACTCGCATGCATGGAACAAACCACCATCTGAGCTTTCAGTCCGAATTACTTTTTCGAAATGGAGAGTTCAGATGTTTTGGTTTGTCGTTCGCTGATGTGTGCACTAGTTTGTCTCTTCTTCCAAGACCAATTGTCCTGCTCTCCGCCCCAGTTGAGAGTGTGCATTCCAAATGAAGCTTGCATTATGAAGTTCTGATGGTGATCTTAAAGCTCTTGTGACAGTTCCACTTTCTCTCTCTCTCTTGCTGTCTTTCCTAGGCGGGAAAAGCCCACAGACTAAGCGGCGAAGAGAGAGAACAACTGCTGCCCAATCTCAGAGCTGTTGGATGGAATGAGGTGGAGGGCAGAGATGCCATTTACAAGGAGTTCCACTTCAAGGACTTCAATCGGGTAGAAAAAATAATAATATCCCCGCATCATAGTTCTTTTGTCTGCATTTTATTCCAGGGAAGCTCAAGCAGGTAGCATTGGGAGCTTCAACCCGCTCCCTGCCCCATCGCAGCCCTCTATTTGTTGTAGGACATGGGTAGGCAAATAAAGGCTCGGGGGCTGGATCCGGCCCAATAGCCTTCTCAATCCAGCCTGCAGACGATCTGGGAATCAGCGTGTTTGTACATGAATAGAATGTGTGCTTTTATTTAAAATGCATCTCTGGGTTATTTGTGGGGCATAGGAATTCGTTCACTATTATTTTTTCCAAATTATGGCCCAGCCCCCCGACAAGGTCTGACGGACAGTGGACCGGCCCCCTGCTCAAAAAGTTTGCTGACCCCTGATGTAGGACTTGGCTAAGGGTGCAGCTGCAGCATGACACCTCCATGGAGAGAGGGAGGAAGAGATGGCCAACCCATCAGCATTCTGTGACCAAGGCAAACAGCTGTGTTGTGTGAGTTCAGCTGTATCATCCAGATGGAGCTTGCCAGGGTCAAAGGTCAGGGCTTGCCACTGCTTCCCATTGGAGTGCTTCAGGGTCCCCTGCAGAATGGCAGAAGTGTATCCGTAGGCATAGGAGCTGCTGCTGCTGCTGCTGGTGCTGCTGCTCAAACCTCAGAGATCTTAACCTAGCACTATCTCTGAATGTAGGTTTTTTGTGTGTTATAACTTCCTTTTTTACTGTGTTTATAGAACCCTGGAGACCAAATATGTGTTTGCCCTTAACATGCAGGATTTTAAAAATAAAATGCAAATAGTTATTGTCTTCTCTGCCACCATCTCATCTGATGCAAACAGAATTGTAGAGGATGTGGAAGGCAAATTTAACCCTATAAACCTATATTCTCATTAGGAACACACACACATTCCCAGCAAAAGGGGATTTTCCTCCGAGTGCAAATAGCCATTTGGCATTTTTCTCAGGAATGCGGCAGAGAATCAGCTGTGATCCCGATATATAGATCTAGCTACATCACACACGCAAGCTGCTGCTATTTGAATTTTTTAAACAGTTGTGTGTGTTAGTGCCGTATTAGTCTTAACATTTATTTGCACTTAAGTGTATTTATTTGATGGAACAGCATCATGGGTGCAGTCCCTAACGCTTTCAGGGGAAAGAAAAGAACTACCATTGACTTGACTGGTGCTAGATTGCACCCCGTCTTAACTCTTCCTCCAGGCAGCAGGATATTGTTTATGCCAATTCAGAACTTTGAATCATAGAAGAGTTGGAAGGGACCACGAGCATCATCTGGTCCAACCCCCTGCAGGAGTCTTGCACCCAACATGGGGCTTGAACCCATGATCCTGAAATTAAGTCTCATGCTCTACTGACTGAGCTGTCCCTCAGGGCAATAAAGGTAAAGGGACCTCTGACCATTAGGTCCAGTCGTGACCGATTCTGGGGTTGCGGCGCTCATCTCACTTTACTGGCCGAGGGAACCGGCGTACAGCTTCCGGGTCATGTGGCCAGCATGACTAAGCCGCTTCTGGCGGACCAGAGCAGTGCACGGAAACACCGTTTACCTTCCCGCCGGAGCAGTACCTATTTATCTACTTGCACTTTGACGTGCTTTCGAACTGCTAGGTTGGCAGGAGCAGGGACCGAGCAATGGAAGCTCACCCCGTCGCAGGGATTCGAACCGCCGACTTTCTGATCGGCAAGCCCTAGGCTCAGTGGTTTAGACCACAGCGCCACCCGCGTCCCCCCCCCTCAGGGCAATAGCTGAACTTAAGTCCAGTTTAAGCCTCCCCATGGTAAATCCTTCTCTACCAAATTATTACATTGTGTACAGTACTGTGCTGTCAATGACTGTCCATCCTTTTAAACTCTGTAAGAGTCAATGGCAAGCTTGTGCAGAGAGAAATGAGTATTGGTGGATATTTATGAAGTTCATCATGTGCGAACTTCCATGTGTGTGCTTTCCTAACTCGCCCTTTGCATCTCGTGAGCAGGCCTTTGGATTTATGACCAGAGTAGCTCTGCAGGCAGAAAAACTGGACCACCACCCTGAATGGTTCAATGTCTACAACAAGGTAAGAGAGAACAGTTGGCTGTCCAAGCTTAGACAAAGCGGTCTGCGGCTGCAATCTTATAATTTACACCATTCACCTGGGAATAAGCCCCGCTGAGCTCAACGAGGCTAACTTTTTGAGTAGACATGAGTAGGATTGAGCTGCATGTGATTAATTGCTACTGGCTTAAGATCAAGATAACCAAACAGTGCTTTCCATCTCCCCAATTCCCATTGTGTTTCCCTCCCCCCCTTAAGCATGTACCATTGAGGAGCCTAGAAGGGGAGGGGTGTTAACCCTCCCTCCAAAATGTCACCTACCAGCTACATTTTACCCCTGCCAGCCAACTTGGGCCTGTCCTCTTCCTTTCAAAGGTATGGTATTCTGCAGCGGCATGACAGGGGGCAGTTAGAAATCCAGGAAGCTGCCTTAGACAGAGCCAGAAGATGGGTGCAACTTAGCTCAGTATAGTCTACCCTTGACTGGCAGCAGCTGTCTATGTATCAGGCATGGGGTCTTCCCAGCCCCAGCTGCAAATGCCGGGGACTTATGCTGCAAACAAGGCAGATTCTTTACTACTGAACTACAGTCCTCTGCCTGGGTAAACAACTATTCCTTTTCCAATGCAAAAGAAGGGGAAGGAACCACTAGGGCTTTGCTATTTATGCCTACAGCGTAATTCATAGTCTTCCTCTTAGGTTGCATAAAAGGAGGATCAGTATTTCTTTTTTCCACTTTAAAATCAACGTTTCGCCAGCAGTTAAGAAGCAATAGAACTTTTTAGAATTCCCCTAGATCCAAAGTGGATCCTTCTAATGTATGTGGCATAGATGAAGCTAGAGTTTTCCAAACACTGTGTTGGCCACAGTGTGTAGGTGTGTTGCGCCAATGCTCCCCACACTCCTCTCGGGGCCGGAAAGGGGTTAGTTCGCTAGTAAAAACTGAACTACCGTGTCACGAAATGATGCAAAACTGAATTATATAGTGTTGTGAAATGATGCATGTCTAAAAAGCGTGTCACCAACATGGAAAGTTCTGGATTAAGCCTTAAGTTGTGCTGGTGCACTCTCTGGGGCTGAAAGTAAGAGGTACTTCATACTGCAGTACTGAACTTTTAAAATGTGCCCTACTGCTCTAGGGTGCTTGCAAACTTGATGTGTGCTTCCTGTATTCCCATTCAGCATGATGACTACATTTTTGTTTTCGTTTTTTGTATTTGTAGGTTCACATAACCTTGAGCACCCATGAGTGTGGAGGCTTATCGGAGCGGGATATCAACTTGGCCAGCTTCATAGAGCAAGTGGCAAACACGCTGGCTTAGAATCGGCCATCCTTGCCATCTACAGTCTTCTGTTGGCCAAGGCAATGCCAAGGGAGAAGAGTGAGATGTTGATGCAAATAATTATTTTTATCCAGTTGCTGACAGAGCCTTAGTATTAGCCCACTACATGATGGTACCCTGCCATTTTAAAAATCCATGCCATTGCATTATTTTGTTTTTTTGTCAAAGCTCTCTCGTGGCATGTTTATTGCCTCTCAGAATTCAGTGTTGCTACTCCGTAGTCTGTTCAAGCAGTATTATACCAGCACAGTAAAAAGCTACCTTTGAGGTAGGCGAGATACCATCCAAAACTGGTTTGAAGTCCATATCGTGATATCAGTTTCATAAATTTTGACCTGCCAATATATCGTGAATCATGGTGTATGTTTGTGCTATGCAAAAATCACACTGTGGGGACAACTGTGAAGCCAGCCAGTGCCTCTACATAGCTCTATCCTTTATTTCAGACATCGTGATATATCGGTCTTTTGCAATGTTTTTAGCTGGTAATAAAACCAGGTATCGCCCAGCCCTACCTGCCATACAGTTAGTTACAGTCAACCTGGCTTGTGACTTAAGCAGTTTACAATAAACTTAACATCTGTCCCGTTACCCGAGTCTTACCTTCTTTTTGCTGAAGGACATATTCTAGAACACCAACGAGCAGACTGAACTCAAACCAGGCATTTCCTCTACCAGGGCACGATAAGTCATCCCAACAATATTAAAAAACAACTATTTTTTTCTGCCCTAGAATTTTTTTTATTTTAAACCTGGAATTGTATACATGATGCATGATAAAGTAAACATGGATTATGCGTTCAAAATAAAATAGTACCGAGACAGTATCCTACAGGATTTTTTTAAAAAGTGGTATGCAAACACATCTTTGACTTCCTGATTGGACTGCAAAACCCAACTCATTTCTTGCAGAAACTGACAAGAGTTTCATTCCACTCTAAAACATAATCAGAACTACTTGAAACACGTTTCTAGGTGAATTATGCACAAGGATGTGATGGTCAAATGTTTCCCTTTCTTAAACAATGCAGAACTGTCAACTTGGTGAACAGCACACAGTAGTAAGTTATCATGAGTTCTGTACAAGTCCAAGTTGTATGCAAAGCATTCTGGCTGGACTGGCTAGATTTAAAACTAAATCAGAAAGATGGCTATGGAGGGCTAAGCCAAAATTTCCAGAATTCACAATAGTCAAAAGGGAACATATCCCGCTGAACAAATCAAGCCACAAAAAGGATTCTGTCATCATGGCGGAAAACAATGTGCTTCACAAATCTACAATTCTGCAAATTCACATTTGTGCTTCCTTCAAAGGAAGCACTGCTACCAAGTAGGAGGTAATGAAATATTTCATGAGACTGACCCAGTGAAGTACTTAGTGCTGTATCAAAATGGCTCAAGTCCCAACTAAAAACTCTGCTTTCAGCCTCACTTCAAGCCTTGGAAGAAGCTACTGGTGCCTGCTTTTCTCAGCTTTGCGCAGGAATTATAGCTGTTTTCTAAAAGCAAACTGTATACAATCAGAATACAAGTGAAGACCACTCCTCCTAGTCAGCAGGTAGCCCAAAACACAGTTGTGAAGTCCTGTTCTACCTATAAATAGGAACGGGGAGAGGAATGTTTTCATTATACCTGAGGCTGATTCACCACTGAGGTTGTTTTCAGTGTAGTACCACAAAAGAGTTGATCACCTGTTGACTGACGGTATTCTGCTCCCTTCCTGGGTTTCCCAGGGGGAATGCTATCAACATTAAGGCAAACCTGTGAGTGCTCTTTTTAGAAATGTGCCTTACAGTCAACGCAGCACAAACAAAGCCAAACGGAGTCCGCTATTGTAAGATTACATTTAAAACAAAACAAAAAGTTGATGTTAGTGCTCTCCACTTTTATAAAAGCTCACAACCAGTTGCAGGAAGGAGAGCAGAGCTCTGGACTTCTCAGAATCCAATTCTGGCACCTAGGAATCGCAAAATCGTTTTCTAACACTGCTGAGAGTGCATTATTTTAAGCTGGAGCAAAACATTCAGATAACTGAATAAGTGTATTGCCCTTGAAGCTGTTCCACAGATACGCCACGACTCAATAGGGCTGTAAAAAATCCAGAGAAAGAGGAAAGCAACAAGATTGTACCATGGGGGAAACGAACAGAGTTAAGTACCTCGTGTCTCCCTTTCAGAGCAAATCCCACACCTGGTGATTTGGAAAAAACAGACAAACGAGCTTCTCCTTTCTCCTCTTCCAACACTTTCAGTTCTTTTCCCATGGCTCATCACTCAGCACAAACAAACAAAGAAGCCAAGCAGGGGGGAGGAAAGGAATGTATAGATTTTGAACACCTGAGAATGAGGGGTGTAGAATGGAGTCGTAGTGGCCATAAATATAGCTGTTCTGTTGAAGACTAGTAGTAGCAGCAGTGAGCAAGTGTGAAGAAACACAAGGAGTTAGTATTAGAAAGAAAGTGGGGAGGGAAACCACTTAACTCTGAAAACTCACATAAACAAAATGGTGAGCAGAGCCGATGCTTATCAGAAAGAGAGATGGGACAAGAACAAGCTGCCATATGATCTGCAGGAAGACCAACATTCCCTTTCCCTGGAATTCTTTAGAATACCATCCATCAGCGGACAAGGCACACAGAATCAATGGTGGCCTGGAGACCCATTCACATGTGCTTCAGACGAAGGAGGCATTTCCGTGCTGTACAGGGAGTCCAAGTAAGAACCAGCAATCTCTGAAATCATATTCCTGTCGGGGATGGCTTGGGCCATGCCATAGATAGCACCCTATAAAAGTCAAAACAAAAAGAAAAGTCAGTAAACACGTCCAAGCTTTTTTTTTTTTTTGCAAACGCAAGACTCTCCTGCTGAAATTCAAACCAAAGCATCCCCTTTGAATTTGAGGGTCGTCTTACCAGGCCAGTGGTCTTGTCCTTAGGGAACTTCATGATATCATGGACACATTCTTTGATGTCGTTCAGCAGCCGTTCAACCACCCCAGGCTTCGTGTGCACTTGGGTTAAGCAAAAATGAATACTAGGGAAGGAGAGAAAAAGCAAAAAAATTAGCTTTGTTCCCAATAGTGCTGTTCTGTTTCGCAGGCATTTGTACATAGCCTTTCTTTTAGTTCTAGAAAACTGCTGGTAGATCCAAAGAGCATCTTTCATCCATACACGATGCTCACCTGTGTGGAATACAGCAGCTGCTTTGGGTTTTGAACACAGACTGGAGCTGGCTGTAAATTTACATGAATGAAACAGGAAGCGCTACTTCTCTGTGCTTCCTGTTCCTCTTGAGAAACCAAGCTATTCGTTCGGAGCGTTGTGAAGTCACAGAACACCCAACGAGTCAATACCTTTTTCGCTCTGCTATTGAAATGCAGAAGCCATCTGTGTCAACACTTTTTTGGTTTAAAAAATAAAGCGTCTTTGCGAGATCAAATGCGGGAGAAGCTTCCCGTCCTCTTCGCATCGTGGCACAATGGCATGTGAATTCCTTTGCCCTTCCTCGCCATGCCCTCTCACTCCAGACGCTTTGAGTACTTGGCTCACGTAAAATGTAGTAATTTCTAATGTGGCTATTGCGGTAAATAGATTTTCCTCGGGAGGGCCGGCGGGCGCCAAAACAGCTCCTTGACTGTTGCTCATTCTCCTACCTCCCAGGTGATCATCAAAGCACTCAGCCCACAGAGCCCAAAATCACAACGAGCTCACCTTGGAGGAAACTGCAGAATGTTCAGATTCCATCCTCTTGTTATTAACATGTTTGACAACCGATATATGTCAAATGTGTCCGACCCCAAAGCAAGTGCAGACACCTCGGGACTTCCAAAGATGAAGATGTTGTCAATTTTCCGCAGCCTTAAAAAGATGCAAGTTTAAAAAGTTTCCACTATTATTCTTTATTGAATTTATATACCGCCCTATACCCAGAGGTCTCATGGCAGTTCACAGAAAAAAATAAAAATATTCCTATTGCCATTTGATACTGACGGGGGGGATGATGCATACACCCTAATTACATTTAATTCTGATAATATTGTTCAGATTTTTATTATCGTCAAAGGCTGGCTTCCCTCCCTCTAAATTCAGGGAAAACCTCAATCTTCCCCTAAAAGAGCACAGAAAGCAGTTACTGACCAGTATCACCCTTCTTCCCCTCTAGAACAGCTGCAAGGAGCAGTTCAGAAGCTTTCCCACTGTGGCTTAACCATGGTTTCAAGTTGGCTCATTTCACACAAACAGAAGGTTGACGAATACGCCGCTGTCAAAGGAAAATGTAAGCAAACACTTCCAAACTCCTTGCAGCCATGCTGGCTGGAGGAGGAGAGGGCAGCATGTGAGCTTTAGGCTTGCACAAGCCTGTTTATATCACACTAAACAATGGTTTGTCTCAGTGGTGGGGAACCTGCGGCTCATGGTCAGGGATAATGGAAGCTGTAGTTCAACAACATCTGGAAGGCCATAGCTTCCCCATCCCCTGTCTAGCATGACATCTTAATGAGGCCAATGTTTTCTTAAGTTTTCATAGAGGATAAGTCTGTGTGCCTCTCTTCTTCAAGGAGCTGCCAAGGATGGGGGGCTCTTTTAGCTTCATGGGCCATGTCCTTATCAGGATCAGCCTCATGGGCCAAATTTGGCAGGTGGACAAATTTAAACAACATTATGACGTCACGGATGGCAGATGGGTGGCCCCGACCATCTCTCAAAATCTCTTTTTGAAGCATCTGGCTTTGTCCCCTTTAAACCCCGCACGTACTCTGCTTCGAGGAAGCGCGCAGCTGCAATTATCTTCCTGGTGTATTCCACGTATCCGTCTTCTCCTATGTGCATCATGGTCGCCCAGCAAGCTGCGATGAGGCCACCTGGCCTGGAACCAGACATGGTAGGGGAGGCGTAGATACCTCCTGGCCAGTCAGGGGCAATGAAGAACTGATACTGCCGATATCTCTCACTGCTGTACAGGATCACGGAGGAGCCCTTTGGCGCATAGCCGTACTGCAGAGGAAGAGATGGGAGTCCAAGTTGCAAAGCAATAAGCAGCAAGCATTTAATACAAATCCCCCCACACAAGAATCTGATGGAGACTGAATTCCACAGACATGTTCAAACCTCTTCTGCAGGGAATTGCAGGTAGAACCGGCAACTTAATGATTCCACACTGGCTTCAGTGATTTTTAAAATGTTAAGTGTGGATTTTCTTTTTTCTTATAAAGCATTGCAGCTGCTGAAAGTCTATGGGCAGGTGAGAGCTCTGCCAGATGAGGCCAAAGACCCACCTGCACCGGGATCTCGCTCTCACCATGGCCAGGCAGATGCCTATGGGAAGCCTGCAAGCTATTTAGAGTGTCTCGTTCAAAAATGGGACCTAACAAGGGGACAGGTGTCAAAAGACAGAGGATCACATCTGAACCCAGTTCCAAACATTCTGAAGATTAATGTATTAATGTATTAATTAATGCATCTAGTCTTCTATTCCACTCCTTTCTTGCAAAGGTAAATTCTCTTGCTGTGTACATATCTGCCATCATGCTTATATACCCTGAACCTAAACAAGTTTACTCAGAAGTGCAGTGAGATTTATTTGCAAGGACTTATGTTTAGGATTGCAGTTTAGGGCAAATGTCCAGTGGCAATGATCATAAAAGTCTTTCCGTGCAAATGAAGCGGAAGCAGAATTAAAGGAAGCATGCCTGATCCAGTTTGGAGAGTGGACAATCGACTCAAGCTAGATTTCCTCCATTAAACCTGCTTAAACTCACCTTGTGGGTATCTGCAGAAATGCTGGTGACACCTTTCACTCGGAAATCAAAACCCCCCTTCAGAGGGTACCCTGCCTTCTCCATGAAGACAATGAGAAAGCCTCCCAGGCAAGCGTCCACGTGGAAGGGAATCTTGTATTTCAATGCAAGCTGTGCCAAAGGGGGAAATCAACTTAGTTTCTCCAGCTAAACCAAAAGCAACGAGACGGAAACTTCCTGCCAAGTGTGAACCTCAAAAGTATCAAACCTATTTACATTGTTTGAAAAGACTGAGCATTCTTCCCCCAAAAGATGCAAAATTCACCATTCTCAAGGCATTCTACAAGCAAGGAGGCCCTGACCAGTGGCTTCAGATTCTGGTAGTGTCTACCAAAGTCCTTCTATTTGTAATTTCCAAACTGTTTTCCTCCCTTTGATCCTCATGAAGTCAAGGAACGGGGAGATCTGTATCAATACAAGGTTGCTTCAAATCCAAAACTGATCCCAAGGAACAGACCTTGTGAGGGACGTGTTTTGCTCATGTCTTCTTTTGCTGGCAAAGTCAAGGTCGCTCCGACTTCCAACTAAATGCTTGGACAGCTCATGCTTAGTATTCGCGCTACAGGATACTTAAGCAGTATGAAATGTAGGGCACTGCCTTATACCAAGTCAGATCGAGCTCTATATGGACTGGCAGAGAATTTGATGCAAAAATCATTGCCATTCCTACCTAGAGATGTCAGGAGGTTGAAGCAGGGATACTTGGCATGCAAAACATGTTCACCACCACTGAGCTGAAGCCCCTCTCTTAAGGTACAGCCTGACTCCCACCCCAATGCCCAGGGCAGGATTTGGAGCATAAATTGGCTACATAAATTTGCACTTACAGTGTAGATGTATGCTTCTAACCGAGAGCCACAGCTGACACACATGCCAGAGCACACAGCACTCTCTCTCCTGGGCTGAGCCCACACAGGTATCTGCTCAGCAAGTCATACGTTTTGCTAGAGCGGGTGACACTTGGTGAAAACTTCCATTGCAGCAAGGAGGAGGGAGCAGTTGAAATGCCCAAGCCGGGGGTCAGCAAAGTTTTTGTGGCTTCGGCCGGTTCACGGTCCCACAGACGCTGCAGTGGGCCGGAGTGTGTGCGCACGCATGCATGTGCAAACGCTATTTCCAATGCTCCTCCCAGAGCGGAGGAGGTGTGCACAGCTTCCCATTGGCTGCAGGGGCTTCCTGCAGCCAATGGGAAGCCGGCCAGCGTCGCGGAAGGCGGTCCCTGTTGGGAAACTGTGTACGTGCAGCTACTCACACAGAGTCAATTAAGGTTTGGCAGACAGCCAGAAGGTCATGTGAAGGAGTAAGTCTGCTTGGTGATAACAGAGACATGGAGACAGCTCCCTGATTGGTCAAGCTATCTCAAGGGAGTGATAAGTAATGGCCTACTAACTGGAATGTGTTAGTTCAGAGTTTGGAGTTCAGAGTTCTGTGTGTCAGTGTAGGAGTTGTGAGTCGTGTCAGAGAAAGCTAGCAAAAGATCCGTGTTCTGTTCCTGTAAATAGTCCACTGTATATAATAAACACCTAACTACAAGTTCCTGGTTCCTGCTTCGTCTATCCTGTCTGCAGCCAAGTCGCCAATTGCTTCCGTGGATTCTGCGTTTACTCTGCTAGGTCTGGCTAAGGTCCTGCAACTAGTCAGAAAGTTGTGAAACACCAATAGGTTTTGTCAACAGTCCCCACTCTGCTCAGCGCTGGTTTAGGGCGGCACATGGGAGCCGACTGAGCGGGCGGTGGGGGTCCATGGGCCGCTTAAACGATACCAATGGGCTGCTTATGGCCCATGGGCCTTAGGTTGCCAACCCCTGGCCTAAGCCCACAGAAGGTATGGTAATAGAACCGTTTGCAGCTATCTTCCAAAGATGTGGAGCTGTACTCAGCTACATCAGGATATTGCAGTCACTTTGCAAGTGATGTGAGTTTGTATTTATGGACACATGGTGCCATGCAGGAGACCAGTTCTGTCCTTGCAGCTGGGTTTTCCATTCATCAGCTATAGACCGGGGGGCTGGCGGGATAAACTTCGTGTGTTGAAAACAACTCTCTCCCGTCCTTACAGGAAGCAATGTATATCTCAGGTTGAAGTAGCACAAAGGTAGTTACCTCTGCGACCTCCTCAATTGGGTCCATGACTCCATGAGGAAACTGCGGTGCTGAGCAGACCAGCATGGCTGTATTCTTGGAAATGGCTCTCTTCATTGCCTGAAAAAAATCAAGAGGAAACGATCAGGCAGTCAAGATGCTCCATTAGATACCAGTCTTCAGAATGGCACATCAGGCCTGCAACTATGATTGGGATACAGGGCCTTTTGATGAACCCTGTCCTAGGAAGCCCAACGATGTTCAATACTTTACAGAGTCACTACTGATAAGAGGTCTGAGAACATCTGAGCAATACCTTAACATCCACTTGCATCGTCTTGGTCAGTGGAATGTGCACAATCTTCATCCCAAAATAATGAGCTGCTTTATCAAATGCCGCATGGACACTCACTGGAACCAGCCTGGGGAAGACAGATATAGCAAGATGTCTCAGAAAACGTTTGTAGTTGCCCGTGATTCGTATCTTTCCTGTTTCATCCCCTCCTTGTCGGCACAAAAATAAACTGATATATACCTGAAAGCCTGGGAGATGTGGGGGACTTAAAAGAAATACATGCATCGCATGGACCTCTGATAAGTTGGTTTTGCTATTAAAAAAACAGCAACCACACAAGACCACAGTTTGGAAAAGTGCCCAAGTTATTCTGTATGCCCAGTGGGGCATTTGGCTTGTCGCAAACAACAGTCACCACCCTCTGCATGGCAGGCAGCTTTTGAAATGGAAGGGCTCAGGGTCATGGATTCAAGCCTTACATTGGGCAAAAGATTCCCACATTGCAGGGGGGGGCTGGACTAGATGATCCTTGTGGTCCCTTCCAACTTTGTGATCCTATTATTCTGCCTCCACTGAGAGTTTATTCTTCCATGAACAACAACCAAACTCCAAAGTGCTCCTAGATAAGCAAAGGTTGTTTTTTTTTGGGGGGGGGGGGTTGCATTTAGAAGAGGTTTCAAAGTTGTGCTTTTTGAATTCTTGCCATTCTGCAGTGAATGCAGAGTTTAGTTCAGAGTATGACTATCGGCCATAGGGGGTGGTAGTTGGGAGTCCAAAAAACATCTGCAGGGAACCATGTTTGGCTACCCCTCCCGTTTAGTTTTGGATTCCATTATCTTCTGTATAAAGTATTTGTCAGTACGCCTTTTAACCGATGTCAGCGACTGGGCTCAATACAGTGGTGCCTCGCAAGACGAAAAGAATCCGTTCCGCGATTCTCTTCGTCTTGCGGTTTTTTCATCTTGCGAAGCAACCCTATTAGCGGCTTAGCGGCTATTAAAGGCTTAGCGGCTTAGCGGCTTAGAAAAAGGGGGGGGAGAGGGGAAAAAATCGCAAGACTAGCAAGACGTTTCGTCTTGCGAAGCAAGCCCATAGGGAAAATCGTGTTGCGAAGCAACTCAAAAACGGAAAACCCTTTCATCTAGTGGTTTTTCCGTCTTGCGAGGCATTCGTCTTGCGGGGCATCACTGTAACTGGTTCTGCCCCGATGGGGCTAGGCAACTGGAGCACTTTCAGAGACCTTCCAGTCCTGGAAAGCAGGTCCCAATGCACTGGACCCACAACTGTGCATTGTGAGCACCAGACTCATGCAGAGTATAACTGACGCAGACACTAGCTGTGAAGCATAACTCCTTTTATTTCTAATAGCTACTACAAACTAAAGAACTACTGGCTTGCATGAGTGTTAGATCTCCCACTCAGCCATCTAGTCACTACATAGAGAAGACTGTTTCCACGCACAGGCAGGCAGTCAGGAGCGGATGAGTAGAAGAGCAGTTTCCGCCCCCTCCTTTCTCAAAACATCATATCAGGAGATTCTTGAAAAGGGGGGGGGAGGTGAAAATATAAAGAGTATTGGCCCAGCATATGAAAAGCTAAAGTAGTGACAGGTCTAAAAAGATGCTTAGTGAAAATAACGTCTCCTATATTAAAGGTGTGATTAGTTACTTTATTGGGGAGGGGGAATAAAAACACACACACACCCACACACACCCACACACAATGGCCCATCTAGTCCAGCATCCTGTTCTCACAGTGGTCAACCAGAGGCCTAGGAGAGACCTGCAAGCCGAATCCAAGTACAAGAGCACACTCTGCTTTTGTGGTTTCCAGAAACTGGTGTTCAGAAGCATTGCTGCCTCCATTGCTTGTAGCCATTAATAGCTTTCTCTTCCGTAAATAAGATACAGAATGTGTGTAGGGGGGGGGGAGAGAGAATGGGCTAATGGGCTACATACATTTCTGGGTGCTTGATTCCTTTTTCGTAAGCCAAATTCCTGTAAGCTTTACAGACCATCAGGATGCTCTCAGTCCCACCAGAGGTCATCTGTTAAGAAGGAATTAAAAACAACAGACACATTTAAATGACCACATACAAATGGAAGTACCGTCTTATACTGGAAAGTGAATTTTAGTCCCTAGTTATCAGAAACTCTGAAAGAGTGTCAAGTGCACACGCGCGCGCACACACACACACAAATATAGACACCCACACACGCACATACACATATCACAGGAGAGGATGTAATTGCCAAAGCAACACTGAAATCAAGCCAATGAGATGCAATGCCCTGTCCTAACAAAGGAAGAATTCCACGCACATAAATTGCACTAACAAAACAAAGGGACTATCAGCATGTTAACTACAAAAGCTCCTGTAGGCAGCAGGTCTTTTCCAACTATAGGGATATATATATATATATATTCAACAATGAAACCCTTTCCAGTAAAGAGGAACGGATGACAGCAGTTGTGGCAAGGACTTTTCTGCAGCCAGACTTGTTGGTACACATATACCCAAAGAGACATTGAAGTAATCTGAGAAAGGGAGAGAGTTGAATGAGAAATCTGCTTAAGAAACTCGGCTGTTGTTGTTGGCCTGGTGTTGTGGAATCCAGCGTCCAAGCCACTCTTTCTTAACTTCTTTGTGCAAAAGCGTCTCCAAACATTCCAGCTACTGTGCATATCAGAAAAGAGCAGAGTTGTGGTATTTTGAAGATTATGACCACTCTTCATGGGACAATCCAAAATTTATAAGCAGTAGAAATGGAAATGAGAGTCTAGTCCATTACTGGGTGAGGTTGTGAGTGCAATTGCAGAACTGCCACGTTCAGACCCCTGCTTAAAGCCTTGATGTCAACTTTAGCCTATATAACACTGTCTTGGTTACCTTGCAGTGCAGACTATTATCTCCTTGAGACTGTATGAATCACTGTCACACGACATTTATTCTGGTTTTTGCAATATATTGGGCAGCTGGCCAATGCCAGGTGACTCAGCAACAGCTGACAGCCTTTTCAAGCATGTACAGCTGACTGACTTCCTCTAATACAAGGGGGAAGCTCAGAACGTGACGAGCGAAAAATGAAGCAGACAATGTCTGGGGATATCTTTCTAATTCTGTATGCAAAAAAAAAAAAAGAAGCTGAATGCATTATCTCAAGAATTTGACTATTTTAAGGGAAAAGGAGAGATGTCTTATCACATATATTTAAATATAGATACACTCTCTCTTGAAGGAAGTTTAGAGGGTATAACTCTTCCTTGCTAATCTGTCAGTTCCACTACATATAACATTGGCATTCCACAGCAAAACAGCACCCTATTACGATTATTTTTAAGCACCTCTAGAGTACTTCCTACATGGCATATGAATAAACAAGAACCATTTCTATGAAAGGAGAGGGAGAAAAAGCCTCATGCAGCAAATCTCAAATTCACTGCTTATGGTACTTGGGCGACAGCGGGTATATTTACACTACAAACCAGTTTAATATTAATATTCCTCTCCCAGGAATCCTGGGATGTGTAGTTCTGTGTGGGAATTCTCAACATCCTCATCAAACTACACTTCCCAAGATTCTTCGGGGGAGGTTATTACAGTTGAACTACCCACAACTATGCCTCACCTGTGGAAACTTCATGAAAGCACAATGCCAGTACTGAAGATCTATGTAATAGATTTAGTGCATTTACTATAGGGAAAGGTGAATGCTATGTTTTAAAAAAAATAAATGGCAAATAATAAAGGCACATATATTGTGGGCGTATGAAAAAAAAGGGTGTGTGCCAGAAGTAATAACTCACATGATAAAAAATTACTTGCAAGATGAAACGATAAAGTCCAACTGAACGAGTACAAATTTAAATAAGCTCCCTGCCATAGAACTGTAGAATTGGAAAGGACCCTGAGGATCATCTAGTCCAATGCCCTGCAATGCAGGAATATGCAGCTGCCCCATGCAGGGATTGAACCTGCAACCTTGGCGTTATCAGCACCACTCTCTAACCAACTGAGCTATCCGCCTATGGCAGTGTTTCCCAACCTTGTGTTCCGTGGGAGGGAGGCGGGCGACTCGGGCGGGGCGGCGGCGGCGAGCACACGCGGGGGCGGCGAGCTCCCTCCCACATCCCATCGCCGCTCGCTTCGGCCGGCCTACTGGAGGAAGGCGCGAAAACCTCGCGCATGCGCAGGCCTTCCGCCTGCGACAGCCCAGTAGGCCGGCCGAAGCGAGCGGCAATGGGATGTGGGAGGGAGCTCGCTCGCCGCCCCGCGTGTGCTCGCCGCCCGACTCGCCCGCCTCCCTCCCACGGCACACCAGCCTACCTCCGTGTGCCTTTGCCCAAAAAAGGTTGGGAAACACTGGCCTATGGCTTATCTGTGAAACCTGTAATTCCCTACCAATTCTCAGAATCACTGTAACCCCCTTGGAATATATAGTTCACGATTTGTCAATGTAAGATCCCACATCCTTTTGATTCTTCTCCCTTTAAAAAAACACAAAGCCAAGAAAACAAACTGTCATTGCACAAGACAGTACGTCACCCCGACCCTATCCCTCTAACAAAGAAAGAACAGATGATGCACTGTTTGTTTTTAGCAGAAGCTGGACAGCTGTGAAAACACTAACAAGGAATTGTATGTTGCTCAGCAAGATTCTTATCCCAGTGCTGTTGTTCTTCCCAAGTGGGATTTGAGTAAAGCACTAGCAAATTTCAGCATGGCATGTGTCTGGAAAGAAAAGGCTGGGCTTATTTGCAAGTGAGGGAAGCATGGGGTGTCATCTCCCCGCCCCGAAATAAATAAAACCAAAGATAGCATTTCCTATACAATAAACTCCTCTTTTATTCTATCCTGTTCTGTGTAGGGAAATTACTTGACAGGAAATCTTCATACTAACCTTCCCCAACCTGGTGCCCCTTCATATGTTGTACTATAACTCCCATCAGCACCTGCCAGCACAGCCACTGATGGAAGCTGTAGTACATACATCAACATTTGGGAGGGAGGGAGGGAGGGAAATTCTGCTTCCAGTGCATATCTAGTTATTAAACCCCCCAGAACAGCTGGGCAAAAAAAATGGCATTATTCATTTTTCCTTTTCACTTTGTTTCTTGAGAAGATTATTCTGAATGTTGCCAGTTTGAGCAGGGAAGAGCACATTTAAGATGTACATTTCTGAAGTCTGCAGAAGACAGAAAGGGTGCGTGAGAGACCAAGAGGAATATCCTTTGATTCTGGGATTAAAGATCATGGATAGTTTCCTCGTAATAGTGGGAATGGTTTGGCAAGCACAAGAGGCAATATCAAGTTTGTTACAATGGTAGAGCAGTACGACAGAAGCATGTAATCCTCTGAGTTTGGTTGGAAACCCACAAGACGGCAGCACATCTATGGCCACAGACACAGCAAAACTGGAGCGACACATAGCCTGAACCTCTGGTAAAAACAAAATGCTGCCACTGGCAATTAATTCTTTATGGGTAAGAGCAGTGGGACTTGGCAGGCTTTCAGTTTTCACCAGAGGTTCAGACTGTGCGTTGTGTCCCTAATCTTTTTCTCACTGTTGCAATATATTTTGCATTTGAAAGTCAAGTGGAAAAATTGGCTCCATTACAGGCTGGAAGTGCCAATAAGGCCTACGTGCACGGCCTTTGTAAACTGGAAATAAATCAGAGGTGGCAGGTCATATGTTGCAAGGGAGGAGACTAAAAACGAAAGCTCCCCATTTCACAATGTAAAACATGCCCGGGCGCAGTAGATGTGGCAAAGTCACCCTGGAATTCCTTGGGTCAGGCAATCAGAAGGCTGCTACAGCTCTTTGCCACATTTAGTTTCTTTGTTTAGCATAACAGCTCAATAACTTTCTTTGAAGGATAGTAATAGTTAGAAGATGCTTGGGCTCAGTGGCTTTTGATGAGTGGCGGATGCTAGCAGATTGCAAAGGCAGCAGAGATTTGCAAGTTTCAATTTCAGGAAAATAATTACAAAGGGTTGGGATCATATTGCATCTCTCCCTGTTCCTCATGCTCTTGCACTGACAAACTTCTGCAAACATTCCATGCCTCTTACAAACATTTCATGGCAAAATCTCTGGCATGTCTTACCTCTTTAGATTAACAACTAGAGTATAGTCAGTGAAGGACACAGAAGTATGGGAGCTTGCAGCTGGCTTGCAAAGGCAGGGGGAGATCTAAGGGTAAGTTGTTTGGTTTTGAGGGGGTTGGCTGAGGTAGGTTTCTATGATGCACCTCCCAAGGGGAGGAATCATAAAAAGGTTGTTATGTAAACTTGCTGAGAAGTGAAACTCTGTGGGCTTAAAAAAATTCTGAAGCAACTACAAAGGAAGTGGGAAAGAAGGAGCTCCACAGCATGCATGTATTAGGAGGACCCAAGTCCAAAGGTAAAAAGTAAAGAACCCCTGGACAATTAAGTCCAGTCAAAAGTGTTAGAATTCTTGCTCCATGATTGCAGTCATGGGATTTTTGTCTGTCACATGACGGTGTATGTTTTGACTCCACAAAGTGGGAAGTGATGGAGACAGGATGTTTGTGTTACTGTGTTCCGTGAAGTGGGACTATTGTCCTTCGTGCTTTTCCTCTTTGCTGTCTGATGCTAGAGAGAGAGGGAGCCATGTTGCAGTGCTCTCTGTGTGTTTATATGTAAATAAAGTAGATTAGCCAAAATGCTGAGTTGCTGAGGTCTGTTACGTAAGCTGTGAAGACTCTGTGGATCCCTAAGTGTGCTGATGTCTGTTGGCATTGGTCGCTGTGATGTTCCGGCTTTTGAAGCTCCCGAACGATCAACCAGGAGGGGGAGAACATGCCAGTTGGGCATGTGTCTCTGCCAGGGTCCTATTCGAGTGTAGGACGAGCTCCTGACAAAAGGTGACTATGGAGTTGCGGCGCTCATTTCGCTTTCAGGTCGGGGGAGCAGGCGTTTGTCCACAGACAGTTTTCTGGGTCATGTGGCCAGTATGACTAAACCGCTTCTGGCACAACGGAACTTCGTGACAGAAACCAGAGCACACGGAAATGCCCTAATTATGTTTTCATTAATCAGGCATCGTTATTAAGCCTCAGGATAAACATTTGCCGTGCCCAAGCACTGAGGTAGGGCCTTGAAACTCAACAATTATATACTACGAGAAAATAGATCAAGAAAAACATTTTTTAAAAAGATTAGGAAAAGGAAGTATCCGTGCTCTACTCTCAAGTAAAAAACAAAACAAAAACCGGACACTCAGAATTCCAAAAACACATTTTAGCTTCCAGAAATCTACAGCAAGAATAAAGGAGGAGGAAGATATATTGACAGGCATGGCAATAATCAATTAACAAAGACTGTACCACTTTTTAAAAAAAGAATTGTTAATTGTACGTAAGCCTTTTTCTCTCTATAGTGCAGAAGAACCCATTTTATGTTGCCAAAAGTCAAACAGAATTAACTAAGCAAATAAAGGCTGCACTGGTGAATCCAGCAAACTAAGTCTGCACGGATTCAGTTAAATGGTATTCAGGCTCTTTTGAAAGTGTGGTGTCAGTACGTTTGTGCAAAATGGAACTGTGGCTCCTAAGACCTAATGGGGCTTCGTGATTAAGAGAATGAGCTGTGATGATCCCACCAAGCTGCCGCATTACACACACATCTGTAACAAGAAGAAGGCTACTAGCCCGTCTTACAGGGTAGTTGTAAGCATTCATTGAGAATATATGTGAAGCCCTTTAACCCTTGAGAGGAAATGCAAAGTAAATGCTAACCACCAACAACTATGCAGCTATTCAAGCAACTATTCATATCATTGAATAACTGTTTCCTATGCCACACAACCTCCTCAAAACACCATGTTGTATTTTCTGCTCCAAGTGAGTTCTATTAACCGCTAGCCATACACCTCTGAGTCCTTGGAACTGTTAACCTCCTTCCTAAGTTTCACTGTCTGTGGGCAGCTCCTACTCCTCCTACAGATTGCAAGGCGATGCTAACCCTGCAAGACGAGTTTGCAAGAAATTAATTTTAATAAGGTCTCCAAGCACACGAAAGTACAACCCTCACTTCCTTACATCACTGCCTGGGAGCCTGCTGCTTCTTCAGCAACAATGCCTTACCCAGTCTAGGTCACGGCTGGTGACTGGGCACCGAGAGCAGTGGTTTCAGTGTGCAGCTGCTAAGTTGGAAGCACTCAGCCTCAACTGGTGGGCAACAAGAGTCTCCGGTTCAGCCCCACAGACACAAGAGGAACAGCCCTCCTCACAAATAAGCCTCTTTCAGAGAACTCATTGGCAATTTTCATCTGCCGTTGAACAAGAGCAGCTGCCTCAGTACTTAGAACTGGAATTTTATCCTTGCTCTGGTATTCAGGTCCTGTATACCTGAAGGAGCGTCTCCACCCCCATCGTTCAGCCCAGACACTCAGGTCCAGCGCCGAGGGCCTTCTGGAGGTTCCCACAGTGCGAGAAGTGAAGTTACAGGGAACAAGGCAGAGGGTCTTTTCGGTAGTGGCGCCCGCCCTGTGGAACGCCCTCCAATCAGATGTCAAGGCAATAAGCAACTGTCTTACTTTTAAAAGACATCTGAAGTCAGCCCTGTTTAGGGAAGTTTTTAATGTTTAATGCTGTATTGTGTTTTTAATATTTGGTTGTGAGCTGCCCAGAGTGTCTGGGGAAACCCAGCCATATGGGTGGGGTATAAATATTAAATTGATGTTGTTGTTGTTGTTGTTGTCACAGTCACATTCCTAAAAATGTACATGAAGCACAGAAGCACCTGCGAATACAGACAATGTACAGTAGGTATTTTTGGATCAGCGCAGATGACTGTGAAAGGCAAACTTAGGACATATCTACATTAATCACTAAGATGTATTGCAGTTTATTCATCGTGGCTTCCTCAGTGATTCCTGGGAAATGTGGTATAGTGAGGGTGCTGGTTGCTAGAGACCCTTAGCCTTCTCTATCCCTCGTGAACTACAGTTCCCAGAGTTCCCTGGAGAAAGGGGATAACTATTGCATAAATTTCAGTCTAAGTCCGTAGCACAGATAAGCATCCTAGCAGTAGAACTCTAGAGGCTGGTTTCGTTGTTCATAAGGAACAGAGTGGAGGCTAAAGAAAAACAGATTTTTTTTTAATTCTTGGTAGTTTTTCTGATAGCTTTTATTTACATGGAGTTTGAAGATTAACACCATCCTGCATATCGAATGGCAATATTATATCTTGCAAGTTCATGTACGTCCAGGAACTGGAAACGGTATTGTGAACCTGACAGTTTTACTCTGGGGAAACGTCTGGAGAATATAAATATGGACATAAAGATGCTCATCTCTCTTGGTACAAAAGCAAATCAGTATACTTCACTTAAAGTGCATCATTATTATTTCAATTATTGCCTACCCTTCATCATCAGGCTCCAGGGCAGTTACAGCCATTTAAAATTCAGTATTTAAAATACGTAAAACAAATTGCAAGAACCAGGTAGGTCCTGAATACATGCATCTCATGTATCAAAAGCCAGGGTAAAGAGATGATGATTTATCGTTTATACACTGCCTGTCTGACTGGGTTGCCGCAGCGACTCTTGAGCAGCTTCCAACAAACTATAAAACCACAGTAAAACATCAAGCCCATCAAAAGGCAAGCCCTTGACCTAGTACAGATGTGTAGCCAAACAAATGTCCAGTTGGTTTCAAGTCCATCTATGGCATCCATTCTCTCCTCCCCATCACCCTCTTGGCATAGGTGAGGTGCACGGTTTCACAGCTTTGAAAGCCAGGGTTCCCAGATCCTGGCCCACATGCAATGCCTCTTGCATTTAACGGACTGACAGTATGCAGAGCATGACTATTGTTGGACTACAACACCCATCACCCCTAGCTAGCAGGACCAGTGGTCAGGGATGATGGGAGCTGTAGTCCAATAACAGCTGGGGACCCAAGTTGGAGAAACACTGTTTATAGAATGGGGCACTGAATTGCTAGGGTCATAAACCCTAGGCTAACTGCGACACGAAGTTAAAATTAATGGGGTTAAGCACGCCTAAATCTGTGCTGGATTTAGGCCTCTCATCCCATATCTTCATTAGCAACATTGGGGAGGGGGGTTGTTTCCCGCTACCCCACCCCTTGTTCTTGCAAGCCTTGCAAGTGGCTGCCGGAGAGGGTCACTGAGTCAAACCACAGGGAGTGTTTTTCTAGGTCTAAAGTGAAACTGTGACGCTCCCTTGTTCTTTTTGCTATTGAATGCTGCATGTCATTTAATCTTGTTTCATTTACAGTATTGAAATGTGGTTATTTTGTATATTATTTTTGTTTTGCTAGGTTGTTATGAAATTGCTATCGCGTTATTTTGCTATGTTATGAAAGTTTTTGCAATGTTTGCTTGAAATGCATCTCTGTTTCTTTGTTGTAAGCAGCTTTGAGGGGTGTGTGTGTGTGTGTGTGTGTGTGTGTGGAAAAGCGGTATACAAATAAAGTGAATGAATGAATGAATCTTACTGACCCTAAACTGTTCCGGTAACAAACACCATCCACATTAGATCCAAAGGAACTCCTGCCTATTCACTCACCTTCTCAGCAACAGCATATAGAAGATGCTGCTACTAAACATATGAGTTGCTGAAATACGAACCACAATTTTCACCCAACATATTTATTACATACAACTTGCTCGGATAACACAGAGAGGGGGGGGGGAAGGGAGAACACAATTCTCTTTCAATTTTGACTTTTTCAAAAACTGGACACCCACAATTCTTGGTGTTGGCCTCTTTAGAAATGACAAGGCTTTTTACGTTTGCAAGCAAGTTCATTGCCTGCACAGGTCAACCATCAACATTATGTAAACTAACTAGCCAAGCAGCTTGCAACTTGGAAGAGAGGTTAATGAATAGGACTGCATAACTACCAAGGTATTTGGCAGGCTGTCCACAATTTCATAATTACCTTTGGTGTCCACTGTGTCACCAGTTTGCCAGCATAGCTGTTAATTGTCAGGATAGCTTATATATGTTCTGCCTGCGCAGACATATAATTTAGCTACCTATATTTTAGCTACGTAAAATTTGTTTTCAAACTTTAACAAAATTTGAAGGTGTTTCATTTCTCAACTTTTTTGTGGATTTCAGCTGTGGTTTGTCTACAATTTCATCTGTACACTGCTTAGGCAGCTGTTTCATCGAGCAGGTTATATACATATTCTAATAAATAAAGTAACAACTTCATGAGAGTTGGCTAGACCCAAAGCAAACGCAGCTTCCCTTGGAAACAAGGCAAAAAAGACGCACACTTTTTTCTGTAATGGATCTTTTAACATTTACACAAATACACTGGCTGCAGCTAGTGGGACTCATGTCGTGTTACTTACTGTTCCACAAGATTTGGGCCCTCCGTGGAAAAGATTACAAGCCATTCTCACGACCTCTGCTTCCATCTTCCTCACGCCCGGAAATATATCTGGATGAAGCGGGTTACTCCATGCAAATTCCTCATAAACCTTCAGGGAGAAAATTGGCACAGGTGAGATAGCTCCTCGAAAGTAAACCCTGAAAAGGTGATGCTGCACTGTACAGGAGAAAGTCACCTCGCTCCCCATCCATCAAAGATGATTGGTTCTGGAGAAATCACAGGAGGACCCTGCAGAGTTTTCTCTGCTATATAGTCCCAGAATGCTTTGCATACTGTCATATCATCCAAATACCGAGTTCTAATGCCGCAGAAGCTTTGACTAGGAGTTACGTCTCACGTGATGGTAGCTGTGTGAAGCGACGAGTGGAGCTATGCTTGGTGGCCTCAACCTCACAGACCCTACCTGTTCCACGCATTCGCCAACATCCACACCTTGGCTGCAAAATCTGAAGCAGGGACCCCTAGGCTAAATCATGTGAGAAGCCTACATGCACACACAGAGGCGGCTTCCCACCCAAGGCATGAAGAGGCGTTTTATTTTCAACTGTCGCCATTCATTCCTATCGTGGCTGGGGGCCTCAAATCCTAGAAGCAGCCCAGGGTCCCTCTGAAAGGGACCTGCAGAGGAGTGAGGAAGCAGGCACAGCCCTGCTCTTCTCCTGCAATTCTAATCACGTGGGCCTCAGCTGCCTCTACAAAGCTAGCGTGGCATTTCTTCCTACTTATTTTCTATGACAGAAGGAAAGCAAGTTTTAAAAGAGATACAGAGGACTGTTTGGGAGTCAAGCGGACTATTGAACACTTTTCTTTTTTAACAAGCCTCTTTAGCGGAGATTTTGTATTTTGAAGCTTGAAATTCTTTTTATGGGTGCTTTCATTGCAGAATCGCATCAGGTTTGTTTCACAGGAAGCGATTCGCGATAAAATGATTTAAGTAACCTCATTGTAAACTGACTGTGGCAGAGGCAGGGACAGTCTACCAAACTCTTCCTCCTTTTCCCTACAATTCCTATCTCCACTGGGCATGGGAAGGGGGAAGGATAGGTTTAACTGAATTAATGCTTGGAAGTCACAGCATGTAGTAGCCAAACCACACCTTAGAATTATGAGCAAGACACATTAATACATTTGAAATGATTCACAGGGCATAAATTCAGGGGAATTTCTGCTTCCAATTCCAATGTGTGTGATGCCTAACCAGTACACCCACTTCACTGGCCTGCCTGAACCTCATTTACTCACAAGTGGGGTGGGGGTTTTTCCCCCTGTCACAATTTGCTTTCCACTTCACATTCCTTCCTGTTCCTTCAAAATAGAACGCCTCATTACAGGGAGAATTAGTTATCCTTATTATTTAATTTGTATACAGTCCTTCACCCGAAGAGAGCACAGGGCAGTTCACAACATAAAGAATAAAAAACGAGAACTTGCTTCATTAAAAATAAGTCATTAAAAAAATAAAAAATCACACACATGCATTCAGTGTGGTGTAGTGGTTAAGAGCGGTAGACTCGTAAGCTGGGGGACCGAGTTTGCGTCCCCGCTCTTCCACATGCAGCTGCTGGGTGACCTTGGGCTAGTCACGCTTCTCTGAAGTCTCTCAGCCCCACTCACCTCACAGAGTGTTTGTTGTGGGGGAGGAAGGGAAAGGAGAATGTTAGTCGCTTTGAGACTCCTTCGGGTAGTGATAAAGCGGGATATCAAATCCAAACTCTTCTTCTTCTTCAACAAACAGAAGGATAAACAGATAGCTTTTACCACACTGAATTACCTTCACAAGCAGATCCGTGAGTTTCTGATCCCCACTGTACACTGTCCCAGACACTTTCCCGTCTTCCCAGTTTACTTCACCTGAAAGCACGGAGACAAGAAACCGCCCGTCATATTTAAAAGCACTTTGCCGATCAAAACTGCAGTTGATTGACTGTTCACACAACGGTCTATGGAGACAACATTAAAACTACAGTCTAGCACAGAGCTGGGGAACCTTTACTCTGCATGCAGAATTAGGCCCAGCAGGTCTCCCTTTCTGACCCACAAGGCTGGTTTGTTTTTTCCTAAGTCACACCCACCTGCCGCTCGCCTGACCTCATATCAGACATTGCCATATCATGTCAATGCAGGGTTTTAAGACACCCTTTGTCAGAGACAAACTTGACATGAGCCAACAGTGTGACGCAGCAGCTAAAAAAGCCAATGCAATTCTGGGCTGCATCAATAGGAGTATAGCATCTAGATCAAGGGAAGTAATAGTGCCACTGTATTCTGCTCTGGTCAGACCTCACCTGGAGTACTGTGTCCAGTTCTGGGCACCACAGTTCAAGAAGGACACTGACAAACTGGAACGTGTCCAGAGGAGGGCAACCAAAATGGTCAAAGGCCTGGAAACGATGCCTTATGAGGAACGGCTAAGGGAGCTGGGCATGTTTAGCCTGGAGAAGAGGAGGTTAAGGGGTGATATGATAGCCATGTTCAAATATATAAAAGGATGTCACATAGAGGAAGGGAGAAAGGTTGTTTTCTGCTGCTCCAGAGAAGCGGACACGGAGCAATGGATCCAAACTACAAGAAAGAAGATTCCACCTAAACATTAGGAAGAACTTCCTGACAGTAAGAGCTGTTCGACAGTGGAATTTGCTGCCAAGGAGTGTGGTGGAGTCTCCTTCTTTGGAGGTCTTTAAGCAGAGGCTTGACAACCATATGTCAGGAGTGCTCTGATGGTGTTTCCTGCTTGGCAGGGGGTTGGACTCGATGGCCCTTGTGGTCTATTCCAACTCTATGATTCTATGATTCTATGACAACTATCAGCAGATAGGCAAGGGGTTTTTAAGCACTTGCAAACAGCCTGCCTCTTTAACGATTGTTAAAAAGCAATGATTAACCATGGAACTGTAAATTTCCTGATTTTACTATTTGCTTATTGGATTCTAATGGATTATTGGATATTGATTTACTTGATATATATGACTAGGAAAGCTGTTTGTGGACAAACGCTGGCTCCCTCGGCCTGAAGCGAGATGAGCACCACACCCCATAGTCACCTTTGACTGGACTTAACTGTCCAGGGGTCCTTTACCTTTAACCTATATCTGTTGGAAGCCACTCAGAGTGGCTGGGGCAACCCAACCAGATGAGTGGGGTATAACTCACAATATTATTATTATTATTAATATCTGTATTATTACTACTATTACTATTACAACAGCAGGTGGCAGGAATTCATGCTCCGGAATGGGACCCAAACTTATAATAATATATTTCTGGAAGAGAGAAATGTCCAACACTTGTGAAAAATATGTGTCAAGGAGAAAGCATGAAAATCAGGTTTTACACCCCTCCAAACAGGAGCTCTCCAAACTTTCTAAGTCAAGTTAGTATTTCCTCATACTCATGCAACTAACATTACTTCGTTTTTATGAGACAGTGGCAGCGTTTTTATTTTGTTCTCTTCTCCAAGAACTATGCTTCCATCATTAATTGAGAATGAAGGCTGAGTATTTGTAATACACAGCCATTTGCTGCTGCTTATTAATTAACACTGGCACTGGAGCAGAGCATAGCAGATGCTGAAACTGATTGACATGTGCCAGTATGCATTCAGACTCATACCCATAGAGCTGTATTCTTTCATCTTCTTCAGCACATCTGGTTGGCTCAAGCCTTTTGCCGGCAGGATTTTGACATAACCTGTTTTTTCTTTCAAGAAACTTAAGGTGCTGGCCATATCTTCCATAGTCTTATTCATCTGTTTCTTTATCTGTTAGGATAGATGAGCAAACATGCAAATATAATATGAACAGATTCTAATCATGGGGATAATTTAATTGCAAATTCCTTGCAAAAAAATAGTTCAAGCCTTGAGTTCAATTTTAAACAAGCTGACCTCTTTTCACAGGTATGCTTTTAATTCCCTCTCCCACCCCCCGAGCATCAAATGATAAAGAGCAATAAATATGTTTCCTCCTAGCAAATTAAATAGGTAAGTAGCTCAATGCTTAAAAACTTACAATAGTACCAATAAAGGGCAATTTGCGTAAATTTCTGAAGAACCACTTTTTAGATCGTGATGTTAAACCTAGAAAGAAAACATTAAAAAACAATTATTATTCAGCCCCAAAATTTCCAAATGTAATTTTTTTTTATTTGCCAGGGTAGAGAAGAATCCCTGCTTCTTGAGTACAGAAGGCTTCCTGCTTCAGAAAGCTGCCTTCTACCCCTCTTGCATGCTTACCTGCACTGCCCTCTAGCCATCAAAGTTCCCAGCAATTTGTTGCCAAGACCTTTGCACTGCCCCTACTGATCCCAAGCACATCCGTGTGCACAGCTTTGGGAATTGCAAAACCCTGCATGTACACAGGAGAAGGCTGGCATGCACGAAATTTCTGAGCTGCGAAGCTTCCCCAGATGCTCTTAGACCAGGAGGGACAAGGATATAAATGAAATGCACACAGGCACATGCCCGTCTTGGCACTGTCTGCTTTGCGAAGCTGGAAACGCTCTGTAGCCTTCTGAATTCCTGTCTGTGCATAGCAATGGGGGTGGGGGGATAAACTCAATACAAAAGCTTGTGGATGGAACGAACACAGAAAGCAGCACGGATCACATTTGGACATGTGCTGTAAGAAAAAACACTAATACCAACAAGGGGCTGCGGAATCCAATGAAGGCCGAAAACTAGGCTTTTGTGTTAAACTAAGAACCAACTTGTTGCCTGTGTTATCAAACATGTCTGTATTTAAAATGCTACCTTTCTTTTCTCCATCAAGGACACATGTGCTCACACACACACATGGATATCAAGACCTATCACACCCTACAACAGAGAGTATAACATTTCTTCAATACCATAACCCTGAACTGCAGAGGTGATGGCTAATTTATGAATTTGTTGCATTTGAGTATGTAACTTGTGCGCTCTCTCTCTCTCTCTTGCCATGAACCCTATCAACATATAACTTTATTTAGTGGACCTATTCTACAACATCCAACTTTGAACATTTTCGAGCCAGCTGTTCAAAACGAAACCACAGTTTAGCCTTTTATTTCTAGAAGTATATATATACGGCCCAGTCACGTTAAGTATCAAGGCAGTGGGCATCATAACAAAATCATAAAGCAATGTGGGGGTCCCAAGGGCTATATAGGGAAGAAGCCCCTGCGTCTGTGGTCCCAATCCCTGGAATAAAGCATTGGAGAAATGGACCTGAGTGAGCCTCAAGCTCACACACTCCCATCTCTCCTGGCTGAGCCACAGGAAATTTGAAAGCTTTCATTTCTGTTTTAGATCAGCTACAGCTTGATCATGCATCTAAAGCTGAGCAAACTGTGGTTATCCTTAACTCTGATTATGGACACAAGCCAACTCCAAACCAGGCTGGCTTGTTTCCACTAATATTAATGTTAAACACAGTTTAAGATTTGGACAACACACCAAACTGTGGTTAGTCTTAAAGAGAAATGGAAACTTTTGCTCTCCTCCTTGCAGCTGCACTGGAGGAGAAGCCAAGCTCTCATAAATTATAGTTTAGTCTTAGGGCCAAACACAGCCATAGACTTGGAAATAAAATAAGGTGAAGAGTTAGTTGGACTTTCTAACCTCACCTCTTTGCTACCACGAAGGTCAGGGGCTTTAAAAAATGATATCCTGTTGAAGAGCATCATGCTACGCAAATGCAGTGGACCCCCCACCCCTCACATCAGAGACGCACAAAGCACTTACTTTCTTGTTGGAAGAGGAACCTGTATACCCAAACAACCAGGAGGGTAGCCCCAATTGTGGATGTTACCAGTTGCCAGGGCTCAGCCCCAGCACACTTTGCATTCACGGCATTTCTTGTTTCGTTTAAATATTGCAGAAGGATTTCTTTGTAAGGAACAACCGCATCCTAGAAAAGAAGACAAAGGACCCATGAGGCAGAGGGCAAGGCCAAGGCAGAATGAACAAATGTGGCTGGAAAGTGAGGTTGATTTATTTGCTATGAGTGTTTTAGCCCCACCTTCCCATTCAATGAAATGCCCAAGGCAGTTTTACCATGGAAGCAAAAGCAACGCCAACAATAAAATACAAAAAATTAAATCGAGAAGAAAAGAGGCAGCAAATAAACACATCAATTAGCATGTCAGAGAGGCGGTACAGTGGTACCTCAGGTTAAGAACTTAATTCGTTCTGGAGGTCCGTTCTTAACCTGAAACTGTTCTTAACCTGAGATACCAGTTTAGCTAATGGGGCCTCCCGCTGCCGCGCTGCCGCCGTGTGATTTCTGTTCTCATCCTGAAGCAAAGTTCTTAACCCGAGGTACTATTTCTGAGTTAGCAGAGTCTGTAACCTGAAGCGTGTGTAACCCAAGGTACCACTGTATTTGAAAACCGGGGAGGCGGCAAATTGAATTACCAAGAGCCAAAGGAAGAAGGATAATTTCATAACACTTTGGTTCAATTTTATCTTGTTTGTAGGTAAAGAGGGCTTTATGATTCTGCTTTTGATTTCAGTTACGATTACTGAATCTGGATTACAGCCCTAACAAACTATTATCCACTGAGGTTTTTCTGTTTAAAGAAATTGTTATTGTATGCTTTGCAGTTTCTTTCGTGTATAGATAAGAATGGCTGTTTGTTTGACAATGCAGGATGCCTGCAGTATAGCTCAGTCGGTACAGCATGAGACTCTTAATCTCAGGGACATGACTTTGAGCCCCACATTGGGCAAAAAGATTCCCGCATTGCTGGGGGTTGGACTACATGAGCCTCGTGGTCGCTTCCAACTCTACAATACTATTGTTCTAAAGTTCTCAGTTTCAATATTTGTGTATCAGGAAAACTAATAAAAATTATTTACCCCAAAAATGGACAGGCAAAATCCTTGCTCAGTGATACGTGATGTTGCACAGAGGTGGAGAGTCATCAAAGAGGGGTGAGGTGGGCTTTTCTCAGCAGGAGGTTCCAAGGTCAAGAAGTGGCCACAATGAAGGTCCCAACCAAGCACAACTCAGTGTCCCAACCAAGCACAACTAGGATGTTGAGGGAGATGCAAAAAAGAGCCTCCATGGGAAATCTTAGGGAGAATTTTGGCTCAAATGGGAGGACAGCTCTGAAGGTAACTGTGTCCCAAACCATCTAGCGTAGGGTTGGGGAACCTGTGGTCTTCCAGATGCTGCTGGACTACAACTCCCATCATCCCTGACCGTGGGCTATGTTTGTTGCACAAGAGCACCAAACCAACCTCACTTGTGCAGCCTGACTTTGCTGGCATGTGAACGAATGCTATCTGAAAACAACAACCCTCTCCATCAGTCCCTGTTAATCCAAAAAAAGAACCACCAGCGCACAGGGATAAATCCATGTTTAGTGTCTCTGACTAAAACTAACCGGTGTTTGCTGTTCTTGAGACTGTGTATTTTGTAACTGCTTTCGTCATCAGCCAAGATTTCCTCAGGGTAAGTTCTCCCTGTGTAAGTTTAAAATTACAGCTCAACAGCAACACGGAACATCTTCCATCAAAGTTAGCCTCCCATTCATTTCCACGGGGCTGTCTTGCACCGTGACTTTTGAATGGCATCAATGGACAATGCAGGATCTGCCATATCAGCTTCAGGTTCCAGAACTTTAGCCCCACAAAGGACAACTCTGGAATGCGTAGCTCCTGAAACACAAGCTTCCTTTATTTTTCCTAAGATCTTTTGTTGTAAGTAGAAGGTGGAGGAAGACCTCTGCTGTAGCAAACGCACTGAAGAAAGGAGCCTTTCCAGTCTCAATCTCAATACTTGATGAGTGTTGCTTCCTACCATTTCCCCTTTCCCACCTCACTGTATAACCTTGAGCCCATACCCCTTAAAGAAACCAACCCTTAATATTTCAAATTCACAGTTGCAGTCCTTTGTCAACCACGTCTGTCATATCCAGCTCCCAATCTCTTAAAGCCGCGCTGCAGAAAATACAAATTTTCATGGCTGCACTCTGCTCCTCAGACCTGTTCTTCCACATCCAACTTTTGAAACCTTCTTGTGAGCAAGGTCCCTACCAAGGTGTGGCGATTTCACCTTAATTGAAATGCACAATAGCAGAATGCAGTGAGTAAGCCTGTGGAATCCTGCTTGTGGAATTTGCATAGGCCACTATGGGAAGCAAAATGCCAGGCTGGAGATGTTTCTGGTCTAATTCAAATGAGCTTTTGTTTTGAATTAATTAATTAATTAATTAATTAATTAATTATTATTATTATAGTTTTATTATTTGTACCCCACTCATCTGACTGGGTTACCCCAGCCATTCTGGGCAGCTTGCAACATTTATAAAACATAATAAAACATTACACATTTTAGGGCCATCCACATCATGAATGCAATTAACATTTGCACCCCCAGAAGCGGAGAAGATGGGAAGTTATAGACAAAAAGGATCCCTTGACACCTTAGATGCCTGACACATTTATTAACTAGCAACTTCTGATAGTTGATGCCACAACAAAACGCTGGCCCTACAAGGAGCCACAGAACGATTTTATTCAAAGGGGAAATAATTTGAATTGTGGGAAGAGTACCCAACAATGGATAACTAATATGAGACACATCACGTGGGGGGGGGGGAGAGACTCACTACTCTGTCGCACCAATCATTATTGTAACCAGATATGCCTGGATAGCTCCGTTGGTTAGAGCGCGGTGCTGATAATGCCAAAGTTGCAGGTTCGATCCCTGTTTGGGGCAGCTGCCTATTCCTGCATTGCAGGAGGCTGGACTAGAATGATCCTCAGGGATCATTAATATGATACCATGAGCCATTATACATTTCAGCAGCTGTTCTTCTTTCTCTCCTCAACACATCCAGTTCCTGACATCACCAGCTGGCAAGATAAGGACTATCCAAAGCTTTGGAGAGCCACCGGTAGTCATTGTTGACCAGGGTCAGGGAACCTGTAGCCTTCCAGGTGTTGGACTCCAACTCCCATCAGCCCCACCAACAAGGCCAATGGCCGGGGAGAATGGGAATTGTATTCCAGTATCTGGAGGCTCACAGGTTCTCCACCTCTGGTGTAGACAGTGCTCAGCAAGATGGGACAATGGTCTTGACTTGGCGGACGGCAGGTTCCTATGTTGCTAACATGTCGAAATACAGAAGTTTCACAACTCCCCTCTTCTCCTTACTGCCACTTCAATCCCTATGCATTTGTTTACTTGCAGGTGCATAAATGACTTACCATATATACTCAAGTATAAGCCGACTTTTTCAGCACATATTTTATGCTGAAAAAGCCCCCCATGGCTTTTACTGCTCCTCCCTCCTCCTCCACTGCTGCCGCCACCAGCCTCTCGGCAGCACCCTAGGTAGGCAGGGGGATGGGAGGGGCTGGGGGGGAGAGAGAAGCCCCCTCTGCCATGTGCACATGCGCGTGCACACACATGCACTCCGGCCCACCAGGAGGTTTGTGGTGTGGTGAACCGGCTTATACTTGAGTCAATAAGTTTTCCCAGTTTTTCGTGGTAAAATTAGGTGCCTCGGCTTATATTTGGGTCGGCTTATACTCGAGTATATACGGTAAGTAATTTCTACTTCCGTATCAATGAATATATACATAAGCCTACTTTAATAGGCCGCAGCAAGTAAGCTGCATGCATTTTTCATTATCCGAAGCCTTTCGAAAGAGGAACAAAGAAAGCCAGCCAAGCAATCCCTTTTTTGTCTTATGCAGAGGTGCTTTTTATCCAAGAGAGGTTCATGTTCCCTTTTTTTTACAGAGGTTTGAAGTTCAGCATGAACTGTTCTATCTGCTCTTTATCAGGATGCTTATATAACACGGATCTGAAGATTAGAACCTGCTAAGCTTGTGTCTTCTACCAGAGTACAAGAGATAACAAGCCTCTACTTTGCAGCTATGCTCCTTGACGGGACCCCCCTAGCTTTTATTGCTACTTCTCCTTACACCACCATTACACAACAGAACTGCTGATGGCAGGCAGAAAGCGAGGGCACACATCCACCTGTTTCTGGACAACCTCCCAAACCATCTCCCTGGGTATTCCAACTAGCAATCGGAAGTTAATCCTCTTTAACATTTGTATGAAACTGCTGGGAAAAGCTACTCAGAGACACAGAACAAGGTGTCTCCATGTATGCTGATAACACTAAACGCCCTCTCTCTATTTTTTTCAGGGCATTCAGGTGAGGCAAAGCGAGTGTTGAACAAGTATGTCAAATCAGTAATGATCTGCATGACAAAACAGGAGTCAGAAATGGGTTTGTTTGTATACCCAGAAAGGATCAAAATTGCAATCTGGGGGTACTCTTTGACTCAACTTTGTCACAGAGTCCCTGGTAGCCTCTGGGGCAGTGAAGTGCCTTTCATCAGCTTATCAGTGCTGCGGCATCATCTAGATCAGTGTTTCCCAACCTTGTGCCTCCAGCTGTTTTTGGACTACAATTCCCATCATCCCTTGCCACTGGTCTTGCTAGTCAGGGATGATGGGAGTTGTAGTTCAAAAACAGCTGGAGGCACAAGGTTGGGAAACACTGATCTAGATCAGGGGTCAGCAAACTTTTTCCGCAATGGGCCAGTCCACTGTCCCTCAGACCTTGTGGGGGGCCGGACTATTTTTTGGGGGGATGAACGAATTCCTATGCCCCACAAATAACCCAGAGATGCATTTTAAATAAAAGCACACTTTCTACTCATGTAAAAACCCCAGGCAAGCCCCACAAATAACCCAGAGATGCATTTTAAATAAAAGGACACATTCTACTCATGTAAAAACACACTGATTCCCGGACGGACCGCGGGCCGGATTTAGAAGGTGATTGGGCTGGATCCAGCCCCCAGGCCTTAGTTTGCCTACCCATGATCTAAGCAATATCGATGATTACGTATTCTCTTTTCTAGTCTTCTAATTTGAGG